TATCAGGATGGATATGATACATGGAAATTTAAACAAGCTATGTATTTCTGATCCTGAATTAAGGAAATAGCAAAATAACTGTGTAAGTCATCAAACTTCAGTAAACAACAGAAACTTCTCAGGTGTCAGTTTAGTGTTTTAATGTTTTATTATTTTATTTTAACTTTATGTATATGAGTGTATTGCCTGCATGTATGTTAGTACACCTGTGTTGTGCAATGCCTATGGAGGTTAGAGAAGGTGACTCTTCCTGGAACTGAAGTTACACACAGTTGTTAGCTGCCATGTAGGTTGTTAATTGTCATGTGGGTACTGGGAACCAAACCTAGGTCCTCTGCAAGAGTAAGCAGTGCTTTTTACAATGAGCCATCTCTCTATCCCCATCAGGTGTCAGTTTAAAAAGTGGTTGTTGGAGGCCAGGGAAGTTTTTCAGTGAATAAAGGTGCTTACCACCAAGCCTAATGACCCAAGTTGGATCCAGGAGACCACATTGTCCTCTGACCTCCAAGGGCACACAGCACTCATGAACCCCATACATGCACTCACATTAAAGTAAGTGAATCAATGAATAAATAAATGTTAAATAAAAAGAGGAATACAGGGCTCACAGGGTTAAGATGGTATTAATTGAACACAGTTTGCACAGTACATAACACAATTCTAGTTACTATGATTCAACAGTTCCACAACACCAAAATATGGAAGAACTGAATACACACACACACACACACACACACACGCACACACTCCTCTTTTTTTTTTTTTTTTTTTTAAGAGATTTAGGCTTTCTTCTCTCCCTTTTTAAAAATATTTTTTGGGGGCACACATGCCACACATGTATGAAAGTTAGAGGGCAACTTGTATCCTCTCCTCCTACTGTCTGGACCCTGGGGCTCATCCCTGACCCAACAGCAGCCAGTGAAAAAAAGGAAGAGAGATGAAGATGACCAGGCGAAAAACACAAAGGGCCCGGACCAAAACCCCCCAAAAGAGAAGCCTGGGCCCACCCAGGATCACACAGCAGCCCCAGACGACGATTTCCCCAAGCTTCCCTGGCCAAGGCCATGGAGCCCAGGCTGAGCATGCATGCAAAAGGGCCCAGGAAGGCAAAGAGTTAGAACATAGAAGCCTGGGCCCTAAAAAGTGGAGCAAAGAGCCCGGGCCAATCCCTGACCTCAAGCCAGTCCTGTCCAGGTAACTGAGCAAGGGCTCCCCATTACTGGAATGAGAGGGCCCAGGCTGAAGAGTCAAAAGAGACAAGCCTGGGCCTGACAAGGGGGCACAAACAGCCCGGGACTCACCCCTGTCCCGATGACAGCAGTCCCCGAATAAACTAGAATAAACTAAAAGGGACAAAGTAACCCTGCCACAAAAACCAAAAGTGCCCAGGCAAAATCCTCCAAGAGAGGAGCCTGGGTTCACCCAGGAAGACACAGGAGCCCTGGGCAGCCATTTTTCCCATGAAGCCCTGGTCGAGGTGGTGCAGCCTGGGCTGAACGTGGAAGGAACAGGGCCCTGGCAAAAAGTTAACAGACTGAAGCCTGGGCCCATCCCTGACCACAAGCAAGTCCCCTCAACGGAACTGAGCCTGGGCTCAGCATCAGCTGATGAGAGCTTGGACTAAATGACAAAGAAAGGATCGTGCGCCCTACAAGGAGCAGCAATCAGCCCAGGCTCATCCCTGACCCAGTTGTGGTCAGTGCCAGGAAAATAAAGAACCTCTAGAAAAAGTAAAAAATATAGAAAAGAAAATGAAAGAAAGAAGAGAGAGAAGAGGGCCCAGGAAGCGGGAAAAGTAGCCCGGGTCCACCCAAGGAGAAAAAAAGCCCTCTCCACGGAGGCCAAAACACCTAGGCCACCTCCTGGTACCACAGTCTCTGGCCAGACACCAGACGGGACCCCGCCACTTTGGGGCCTGTTTTCCATCTGCCTTCAAACCCCCAGATCCCAATGGCACCACTCAACGGGGAGGGAGCCCATGTGAGATTGTACAAGACACCCAGTTCTCCAGACCTCTGATGGATGAAGGGAGAAACCTGGCAAGGTGAGAAGAGTCAGTGTAGTGCGGAACGTGCCCAATGTGCACGCACCCTGTCCCAGGCCAGTTGCTGTGTTCCAGGGAGCCAGGATCACACCACGGCCCATCCAGGGAAGGACAGGAACCTGGGGAGAGCTCGCCAACCACGGTGGACTGATGCTGCAGGACAGCAAGAACTCCTGACCCCTCGTGGATGAAGGAGCAGCCTGACAGGGTGCAAAACGGCAGGTGTGTGCACCACACCCTGTTTTCACCCGGGACCAGAAGACTTCTTTCCATCCAAGCCAAGCGGCCAGGATCACACCAGGGCCCTTACTGGTGCTGAGATCTAAAATCAGATACTCTGGAAGAGCAGTGCAAGCTCTTAACCACTGAACCATCTTTCCAGCCCCAAGTATTTGAATCTTTAAACCAGAGAAAGGCTCTCATAACACAACACACTGTTTCCACGGACATAAATGCAGTACTAAGATATTAAATGCCTTGCTTTGCAAAAACACCATAATCTTTTTAAAAAAAATTATTTTGTTTTATGTGTATGCATGTATTGCCTGTATGTAGGTAAATGCACTCATTGTCATGCAATGCCCGCAGAGGTCAGAAGAGGCTGTCAGATCCCCTGGGACTGCAGTTATGGACAGTTGGTAGCTGCCATGTGGGTGCTGGGATTTGATCCTGGGTCTTCTACAAGAACAACCAGTGTTCTTAACCACTTAGCCATCTCTTCAGCCCCATAGATTAGTCTTTATCCATGCTATCTGTCTATCTATCTAAAAATCACCTACCTATCAGTCCTGTCTATCTACCAATCTAACAATCATGTACCTATCATTTATCTACCTATCATCTCTATCTCTCTCTTTCTCTCTCTCTCACAACCTACCTATCATCTATGTACCTGTCTATCATCTATCTAATTATCATCTAGGTATCTATTTCCCTAGCTACTTATCCACCTATTATCTACCTGTGAATAATCTGTCTGCCTATCTATCTATCTATCTATCATCTATCTATCTATCTATCAGTCTATCTATAATCTATCTCTGTCTATGATCTATCTACTTATCCATCCATCCACCCATCCATCCATCCATCCATCCATCCACCCACCCATTCATCCGTGAATTCATCCATCCACCCATCCATTGTTCTATGTAATCATCTTTCACTCTGTCTCCATTTTTGGTGTCTTTCTGATGAAATCCAGCCTTGTGATATGCTAGGAAAGTACAGTGCTACAGAGCCACATCACAACTCAAGCTTGGGGTTTAAAGGTGGTGAGGGAACAGCTGGAAACTAAAGTATTTAACCCCAGGAGGAGGACATGGCCCCCTGCAGGCTTAATGACGAGAGAACTCTGACAAAAAAATGAGCCTAAGAAAAGATACTGCAGGGTTTGAGACTCAGACATTTCAGATAAGAAAGGAGCATCATGTCCTGTGCTCCCCCGCCCAGGGCTGAAGGTCCCTCCCAGGCAAAATAGCACTGGACATGAGGTGGTTCCCAAGCAATGTCTCTGAAACCAGCCTCTGGCCATCTCCTAGCACTGCTCTGAGGACGAGTTGTATAGGTCTGCTGGCAGCAAGAACACACCAGGAGTGGAGAAAACTGAGGGCCTGGTCTCCCTTTTTGGTGCCCAGATGCAGTGTGGTCAGAGTTCTGGGACTGCTATGGTAACAGAATGGCCTTGGGTAGAGGGCAGCAGAGGCACCACTGAGGTGGGAAGGGATACCTGGTTGGTGGTAAGGACTGGACTATAATCCATATTCTTCATGCAGAGAAACAGGGAGAAGCTCCCAGGTTCTAGGGAGAAAGGGTTAGGAGAACCTGGGTGACCATGGATGAAGTTCTGCTCTTGACCCTGTCTGCCTAAAACATTCTGTCATGAAACCTTTATTCACTCTATCACTTACCTACCTCTCTATCATCTATGTATTATCTATTTGTCTATCATATATCACTTGGCTATCCATCTATCACCTATCTAAATATCTATCTATTCATCAGATACTGTCTATTGATCTGTTTATTCATCATCTACTATCCATTTTCTACGAAACACGTAACAACTCAACTTTGGGGTTTAATTATGGTGAAGGGACAGGGCGGAAACTAAAGTCTTCAATATAACCCTACAGACATGGACCAAAGAGCAGGGTGTGTGGGCCTCACCCCACCTACACCGCAAACAGTCCTGAGATGTACAGAGCCAGTACTGATTACACCATGGGCTTCCTTGGCAGCCACACTGGGGCTACAAGGAAGGACAGACAAGCTGCATAGAGCATAATATCCTGGGTGAGTGGGCCACACTGAGTTCCCTCCGCATACCCTCACATGCCCCAACACCCCATCCCCCAGAACCAGACCTCAATCTTAGATCCACAGAGCTGTGATCATACCATGGCCCTTGTTGGTGTCCAGGCCCAACACAGAAGGACAGACAACCTGCATAGAGCTTAATAATTTTGTGAGTGTGACACACCCTTCTCAAGCCCCATCCCCCACCATGCACATACACACCCAAACATCGCTGTCCAAATGCTGCCCCCGCATCCCCCTGTACCACCTCAACACTCCCCCAAATTCCAAACACCCCACGCAGGCCCCCCACAACCAACCCACCTTCAAACCCAGGCCTGTACCTTAGATCTAGGCAGCCAGGATCACACCACGGCCCCTTGTGGTGTCTGGCGCTACCAGGGAAGGACAGACATCCCGGCTACAGCTCACCATCCCAGGTAAGTTCACCATCACAGGTGAGCTGTGACAAGAAAACAAAAGAAAGGAAAGAGGAGGGAGAAGAGGGCTGGGAACTGGGAAAAGGAGCCCGGGCCAACCCAAGGAGAGAAAGAGCCTTCTCTACAGAGGCCAAAACACCTATGCAACCCCCTGGTACCCCAGTCCCTGGCCAGACACCAGACGAGACCCCCAGACTTGGGTCCCGTTTTCCACCTACCTTCAAACCGCCAGCTCCCAATGGCACCACTCCATGGGGTGGGAGCCCCATGCGAGATCATGCAGGACACCCAGTTCTCCGGAGCGCCAATGCATGAAGGAGAAGCCTGTCAAGGTGAGAAGAGGCAGTTTAGTTTGGACCGAGCCCAATATGCAGCCACCCTGTCCCAGGCCAGTTGATGTGGTCCAGGGGGCCAGGATCACACTACGGGCCCTGCTGGTGTCCGGGCCCATCGAGGGAGGGACAAACACCTGGGGAGAGCTCGACAACCCTGGTGGATCGATGCTGAAGGATGGCAAGGCCTCCCGATACCTTGCGGATGAAGGGTGAGAAACGGCAGGGTGTATGGGCCGCATAATTTTCACCTGGGCCCTGGGGCCTTCCTTCCTTCCAAGTGGCCGGGATCACACTGGGGCCCTTGTTGGTGTCCGGGCGCAACACAGAAGGACAGACAGCCAGGCTACAGCTCACCACCCCAGGTGTGTGGGCCGCACCTGGACTCGATCCCTGACCAGGTCCCATCTTGACTTCCCCGGCCACAGACTCCCTGGAGCCACACTCAACCTCCACCATGGGTGAGTCACGGCCCTCTCCCCAACAGGACCACATGCCTAAGTCCAGGCTACCCGACCCGGACGTTCTGCAAAACCACGCCAACACCAGAGTGTTGTGGTGGTACCACAAAAAACATGTGGGTGAAACCGACAGAGGCTTGCAAGGCAGGTATCCAAAACTCCTGACCACAAAGATGACGACGATGATGAGATGGACCCAACAAACCACTGGTGAGTGGGAAACACCCTGTTCCAAGCCCCAGCACCTCCCCGAACGTATGCTCGCGAACATCCCCTCCCCCGATACCACTGCCCGCCCGCTCCCCCAACACACACACCTCACACCCCACCCAACCCCGAACACCCCACACACCACCCCCATCCTACCCACACCTCGAGCCAAGGCCTCTTCCTTAGACCCAGGCAGCCAGGACCACAGAGGTTCCTGGTGGTGTCCTGGCTCATCCAGGGAAGGACAGGCACCTGGGGAGAGCTCATCAAAATCCGTTGGACATATGGTGCAGGACTTCAAGGCCTCCAGACCCCTCGTGGATGAAGGAGCAGCATGGCAGATTGTGAAACGACAGGGTGTGTGGACCGCACCCTGTTTTCACTGGAGCTCAGGTGACTTCCTTCCATCCAAGAGGCCAGGATCACACCTCAGCCCTTCTTGGTGTCCACGCCCAACATGGAAGGACAGACAGCTTGGCTGCTGCACAGGGACTCGATCCCCGCCCAGGCACTGTCTTGACTTCCCTGGCCACGGACTCCCAGCAGCCACCCTCATCCCCCACCATGGGTGACTCAGGGCCCTCTCCACAATCAGACAATGTCCCCCAGCCCCGGCCACATGACCCCAGCTGTTCTGCAAAATGACACCACCACCTGGGTGGCACGGTGGTACCTGAAACTCACCTAGGCAAAACCGACACAGGCTTACAAGGCTGGCACCAACACTCCTGATGACAACGACGATGTGCACCCAGCACACCACTGCAAGACTTCTCCTTCACATGTCCTATGCACAGAGACAGCAGACACTGAGGGATCCTGCCCTGTGGCTTAACCTCCACCTAAACTCCAGGACTCCACCACCCATCCTCTGGTGCCACAAGGCCCCACCCACCAGGAGAGCGAGATTTCCCCACCTCCTCTGGAGGAGCCGGTAGCCTGGCGAGGCGGCAAACAATGGTGTCTCTGCCCCCCAATGACCCATGTGCACAGCAGATGCTGGGCCAGGTGCTGAGATCCAGCAGGCCGGGAAGACAGGGTGGAGCCCGCTGGGCTCAGCTCAGATGGAACAGGGCCTGGAAAAAACACCTGACAAAGAAGCCCAAGCCCGGCCAAGAGAAGCAAAAGACCTGGGCACATGCCCGCCCAACCCAAGAGTGTGGACAAGGGAAAAAGGCCCCGGCCCGTGATCATGTAGGGCCAGGGCTGAAGACCCCAGAGGAAGAAGCCCACCTGGGTCCTCCAAAGTGGAGCAAACACAAGCCCGGATTGTTCCATGCCACAGTGCCACCCAGGGCAGGACAGGGACAGAACAAACACAAAGACAAAGATGCCCGGTCTCAACAACGCAAAGGGCCCAGGCAAAAATCCCCCAAGACAGGAGTCCGGGCCCACCAAGGAAGACACCTGGGAGCCTCGGGAAAATATTTTCCCCCAGGAGCCCAGGCCAAGCATCGATGTAACAGGGCCCAGGCCAAAAGTTACAAGATAGCAGCTTGGGCCCAGCAGGGCAGAGAAAATGGCCTGGGCCCATCCCTGACCACAACCCAGTCCTATCAACAGACAGAGCCCAGGCTCCCCACAGTGGACCAAGGGCCCCGGTCTGAAAAGTCCTAAGGGAGAAGCCCAGGCCCATCACTGACCTCAAGCCAGTCCCATCCAGGGGAGTGAGCCCAGGCTCCCCATAACTGGAACGAGAGGGCCTGGGCTGCAGAGTCAAAAGGGAGAAGCCTGGGCCCGACAACAGGGAGCAAACAGCCCAGGCCTAACCCCTTCCCCGATGACACCAGCTACCAGAATAAAACTAAAATGGACAAAGCAGCCCTGCTATAAAAGCCCAAAGGGCCCAGGCAAAATCCTCCAAGAGAGGATCCTGGGCCCACCCAGGAAGACACAGGAGCCCTGGGCAGCCATTTTCCCCACAAAGCCCTGGCAAAGGCAACAGTGCCTGGCCAAGCATCTATGGAATGGAGCCTGGGCCCCACAGAGTGGCGCAAAACAGCCCGGGCCCATCCATGAGCACAAGCAAGTACCCTCAATAGAACTGAGCCCAGGATCAGCATCAGCCGACTAGGTCCCAGGAAGAAAAAGAAAGCAAGGTGCCTGGACCCTACAAGGAGCAGCAATCAGCCTAGGCTCATCCCTGAACCCGTTGTGGTGAGGGCCAAAAAAACAAAAGAACCGCAAAAAGAAAAAAAGAAGAAAAAAAAGAAATAAAGCACACAAGAAAATGAAAGAAAGAAGAGAGAGAAGGCCCGGGAAGCGGGAGAAGGAGCCCGGGCCCACCCAGGGAGAGAATGAGCCCTTTCCACAGAGGCCAAAACACCTACGCCACCTCCCGGTACCACAGTCCCTGGCTGGACACCGGACAGGACCCCGCCTCCTTGGGGCCCATTTTCCACCTACCTTCAAACCCACAGCTCCCAGCAGCACCACTCTATGGGGTGGGAGCCCCACACGAGATCGTGCAGAACACTAGTTCTCCGGACCTCCGATGGATGAAGGAGCCTGGCAAGGTGAGAAGAGGCAGTTTACAGCGAAGCACACCCAATGAGCACCCAGCCTGTCCCAGGCAGGTTGCTGTGGTCCAGGGAGCCAGGATCACTGCGGCCTCTGTTGGTGTCTGGGTGCATCCACGGAAGGACGGGCACCTGGGGAGATCTCGACCACCCCGGTGGATGGGTCCTGCAGGACAGCAAGACCTCCCGACCCCTCACAGATGAAGAAGTAGCCTGGCAGGGTGAGAGACGGCAGGGTGTGTGTGCCTCACCCTGTTTTCACCTGGGCCCAGGAGACTTCCTTCCATCCAAGTGGTCAGGATCACACCACGACCCTTGTTGGTGTCTGGGCCAAACACTGAAGGAGAGACAGCCAGGCTACAGCAACCTTCCTGGTGAGTTGCTTTTCTGGCTTTTCCAGTAATCTCTATTGCCTCTGAATTGCACAGTTGTTCTAACCTCACAAAGCATTCATGTGATGAGGGGCAGAAAGAATTTTCCTCTACAAGATTTACTGAAGGAGATGCTATTCCGAGGTAAGGAAGGTGATGAGAAGAGGCACAGGAGTCCAGAATGCAGTGTGAGCAAAGGCCACCCCACAAAGCCTCGAGATTCCAAATAGCTTGGCTGGGAAACCCTGTATAAATGAGGACTGAAATAAAAGGTAGCAAGACTGGCGATCTGGAGAATTATGCAGCTTAAGGTAACTAATGGGCCAATGCTTTATTAGCATGAGCTGCTGGTCAGAGAGTCTTAGTACTGGGCTATATTCTCAGTCACAGCATAAGTTCTAGAAAGAGAAGAGGGAGGGTGGACAAGGTGATTATTAAGGAAATGGACAAAATGACTGCACAGAACTGAAGGTGTATTGTAAATCTCCAGACTCGATGGGATGACCTGAGATATGAAAGAGACCATGGGGCTGAGGAGATGGCTCAGTGATTAAGAGCACTGGCTGCTCTTGCAGGAGCCCCAGGTTTGGTTCCCAGGACCAACACGGCAGGTTATCAACCATATAAAAATCTGAGTCCCAGAGGATCTGACACCCTCTTCTGACCTCCGTGGGCATTCCACACACAGATGCACTTATATACACACAGACAAAACACTCATACACATAAAATGAAAACAAATAAATATAAAGAAAAAAAGAAAGTGATGCCCTCTTCTGACCTCTGTGACCATTGCACACCATGGTGCACTTACATGCAGGCAATGCACTCATACAGATAAAGAAAATAAAAATAATAAACATGCAAAATATTTTTAAAAGAAAAAAAATTGAGCTGAGGAAACAGATCTGAGAAGTGAGAGTTGGGACAGACATGGAAGGGAGGCAAGGATGCTAAGATGTTCCTCTGGGTGATGTCTACAGTTGACAAGTCAGGCACTCAGAAATATTATCTAATGACACAAATGTATCCCCAGCTAGTATGTCGCTCTCAAGTTAAAGATTGTTGTCTTAACAGTGATAAAGAAACTGAGCATGGACTATGGAAAGAACTGGCAGAAAAGACAACTAAAAGGCTTAGAAAATGAAGTCCCGCAATTTGAATTTCAATTATGTGTATTCATGACTTAGATAAAAACAACAATTCTTTAAAAAGGAATCATACTGACCTGATTTCTTTTTTTCTCCACCAGTGACGTTTCATAGAGTTGAGCATAATGAAGAATACCACGAAATGCCAAATAAGCAGCAAAGTCCTACAAGACAGAAGACAAAAGCAGGTCAGAATTCCTAAAAAACCATCTAGTAACACTGCCT